ACCTGAAGAGGTGGGCAGCGTTTAGGGTTTAGGGTTTAAAATTTAGGGTTTAGGGTTTAGGGTTAAGGGGTAAACCCAAAACCGGAGGCCAATGAAACTCTCGAGGTCTTCTTCAGCCGAGAGGCAGCCGAACAAGGGAGACGAGGAGACGCTGCTGCTTGGTGCAGAGATCTTCCTGTCAATATTGGGGGGCCGCAATCAACAGAATAGGGTTTGGGGGGGCTAGATGGTAGTTACCAAAAGTGAAGCTCAGGCCTACTGTTGGTGATGATTCGGGCCTCTATAGTATGGAGGGCTGGCGGGTGAGAGCTTTGGGAGTCGAAGCAGTGCAGGTTGAGTTGTTCGGGGTTCGGTACTGGGGTTGTTGATATAAATCCTTAGCATTACCTTAAGGACCCTAAACTATGGAGATTATGGTATATTCCTTTCTATGGGTCATGCAGGATTTGTACCATCAACCGTGGGGTGTAGGATGGTGTTGGGTTTAGGGCTACGCACTGGTGGGCTTGGCGCGACAATCTATACCCAACCCTAAACCCTAAACCCTAAACCCTATAGTTACTATAACCCAAGCCTCAATCCTCATGAAGCCGAAACCTCTGCTGTTTGTGATCGACAAGAGCCCTGTGCTTCTAGTGACCACACCTACAGATGCTAATTGTTGCAGTTCCTGCATGCTGCCCGAAGCCCTAAACGCCCCAAACGGCCTTCGAGTCTACGAGTCTGGAAGCCAGGGAACTTGTAGCGTTTGTGGGTTTCGGCTTTGAGATATCTGGGGTCAGGGGGTGTCGATGTGGGAGCGCCAGTTTTTCTTATCATTATCAGCACCGACATTACATGTTGAACAAGTGCATAAAAACACAAAGAACAGTCAGCAATACAATCACGTGCCGCGCAGCTTGAATTCTTGAGACGTCTGAGTCTTCATGTAGTACTGCTATCCCGATCCCCATTGTAGTGGTCCCTACATAGTTATACTTCCTTGACCCCAGAAGCATCTTTTGATTACGAAGGCTCCAGACCCAAAGACGAAGAGATTGCTGATCCCTATAAACCCCCGCCTAAACCCTAAACTCTAAGCCCTAAACTCTAAACCCTAAACCCCGAAACAAAAAAAAAAGCTTGGAATGGTTCTGGCCTCCGCCAGCCCCCCGATGAAGCGAACAGCTGCTGAGGTCGCCAATGGGTTTGGCCGCTTATCCTTCAGGGAATCACCCCCTAAACCCTAAGCCCATACGATTTAGGGTACTATACTAGGGTCTCCTATTTTCGGAAACCCACATATGGGGAACCCCCTTGATTTGTGATAGTGACCATTAGCTCCCTAAGCCCGAAAGTATGTAGGGCAGAGGGAGTCTTATAGGTGGTCTCAGACCTAAACTCTAAACTAACCCGGCCTTTAGGGTTTAGGGTGCCCTAAACCCTAAACCCTAAAATATGTCGGGCAGAGGGTCTCGCAGGATTGCTTAACGGCTTCTACTAGTCTACAATGGGCTCAACAATCCAATGGTCTAAAGCTGCATGAGGCTTTACCGTGCTTTATGAGCGGATTACAGGTGATCTCAGACCTAAACTCTAAACTAAACCGGGCTTAGGGTTTCGGGACCCTAAACCCTAGACCCTAAACTAAACCGGGCTTATAGAGTTTAGGGTTCAGGGTTTAGGGGGTTTGTTCATGGCCCTAAACCCTAAACCCTAAACCATGGGGGTCTTTTTAGGCTGCGTCCGCCTTCGCAGCAGACGCCGCCTTTTCGATGGCCGCAGCGGATCGACTCCAGCGGTCGTAAGCCTCAGAGATCAGGGCAACCGCCCGTTTCACATGTGCGGGTTTAGGGGTTTAGGGTTTAGGGCTTAGGGTTTAGGGGTTTAGGGGTTTGGGAGTTTAGGGTTTGGGGTTTCAGGGTTAAGGACTAAGGGTTTAGGGTTTAGGGCTTAGGGTTTAGGGTTTAGGGTTCAGGGGTTTAGGGCTTAGGGGTTCAGGGTTTAGGGTTTGGGGTGACTGGTTCTTAGTAGGGATGGAGGAATGGGCTTTTTTGGGACTACTACAGGTTCCTTATGATGATTTCTTTATACAAGTCTTACTTTGTAGGTTATATTTAGGGTTCAGGTAAACCCTGTGAGCCCTAAAGCCCTAAACTTTAGGCCCTAAACCCCAAACTACATACCCTGAACCCTGAACCCCAAACTCTAAACCCCCAACCCCAAACCCCTCATAAGCCCTACACTTAGTGGCATCCCTGCTCCCGAAATGTCATAGACGCTACAAGCCCCCACGCCCCGTGGAAAGGAAACGTGGACCCTCCCCGTCTCTTCCTGCCTCCTGCGTAAACGGGCTCGCCTGCAATAGGTCAACAGGTGCTTTGGGTTTAGACTTTAGGGTTCGTTCTCTGGGCCGATGCTACGGCGCTAGCGGGTATCCTTCCTCGTAAGGATGTGTATGCCTTAAGCTCTTCTTTGTCTAAAACGTCCCCGAAGATCGCCTCGGCGGGGCTCTCCGTCGGCAGCTGCCGGCGAGCTGCCACGCGCGGCGTCCTCAGAGGTCCGGTGGAGGAATAGGGGCTGTTCGATCAGGGTGTACTGCGACTTAGGGCTATAGGATTTGGGGTGGAGCTGCACCCCAACCCATACATCACTTCAAATTATTAGCAGAGGGAGAGTTTGAACTTCGTAATGACAAATTCCGATGGGCTTTGCGTTCTGTCCCATCATGACTATGACTAATAATTACGCTGTATAATTCGACATAAGGCCACTGATTTTCAGTGAGCATTGAGGGATCCCGACCTCCACAAAGCCCATCATCCTACATCTTCGTTGCTGAGTTCATAAGCAAAATAAGTGTTCACTTTCAGCTCTGTAAGGGATCATATTGTCGCAAAAAGATTAAAGTGTACTTATGTTCAGCTACTAAGACATAAGCCCTGGGCCGCCCTGGATTCCACCGGAGTGTCTGTAGGCGATCGGTGAGGAGGGGGCAGGGCCGCGTGCGCTGACTGAAGGACGCCTGGTGAAGGGCTTTTCTGAAGCCGAGCCAATCCCAAACCCAAAAGCACTGAACCAAGAAAATGCCAAAACCCAGTGGCTGCAGGCTTCGGCGTGATAGAAATATGATTGTTTGCTCTTGTCTTGGAGGCCTGTTGAGACTTGGCGAGTTGAGATGGCTGTCGCTGTTGGAAAGTTTTAAGGACTTCGCTAAATCCTTACACGTCACATCCTTGTGGAAATATCAGGATTTCGGGGTGCGAACACGGTTCCGGATTTGACATATGTGCTGCAGGTAAAGATGTGAGACTAGGATTTAAGGTTCCGGTAAGGCAGCTGTTGCTCTTTGGAGCCCGGAACCAATCTGTTTGCTTTCCAGTAATTAGGATGCCTCCACGGTGTTCGGGCGCGTCGCAGGCAGTCCCACGAACCGCCGCCGCTTCCTCAGCAAGGATAAGTCTAGGCAACAGACATTGAAAGCGGGTTTGATGCAGAAGGCGGGGGAGAATGCATCTCGGTCCCGAGCTCAATTCAACCGCCCTGTCCGGTCTTCAATATAGGTTGTCATCGCAGACAAACTGTCTCCGAAATGTTGGAAGGCTTCGTCGGCCACTGAACAACACGTCTGACATCGAAGGCTTTACAAAACGACGAACAGCTTTGGTCTTGGGCCTTCTAAAGCACAAAAGCGTTGGCCAAACAAAGATGAAAGGATCTTTAGGGCGCAGAGCGATTGCGGACCCTGGGCTTAGATCTTTGGAATTTGGCTTGGGAGCCCTGGCTCCAAACACTAAATACTAAACCCCCAAAACCCCTGAAGCCAAACCCCTAAAAGCCACTAAAACCACGAACTCTGGACCCTCCCGGCTCTCGGAAGATCTCTGCAACTTGGCATCTGATGGCTGTGTGGCCGCGGCATTCTACACGCATGATGTTCACGCGCACGGAGTTGGGGCTGAGGCGGTTGGAGCCGCGAGGGAGCTGGGGTAGATAAGGCTTGGGGCTTGGTCTTTGCTCGGGGTGTCAGGGCTTCTTGCTTTTTCGGTTGCTTCTTCCTGAACCCAAAACCCCCGATCTCGCAAACTGCGCATGCTCTTGAACGGGGGGCGGGGCTGTTGAGCCCAAAGGATGCACACCGGTCCCTGCGGGCAATTGACATCTCAACAGAAAGAAAATCTCTGCTGCGACCCTGAACCCTAAACCCTATACAAACCCTGAACTCTAAAACCTAAAACCCTAAACCCTGAATCCTGACCCCTAAACCCTAAACCCTAAGCGGCTCAAGAGGCTCCAAGCCACAAACACGAGCTAAACGTCTTCACTCGCACGTCAACGCAACCAGTCCAGGGCCAAGGGTTTAGAGTTTAGGCTTTTGCTTTAACGGTTTAGGGTTTAGAGTTTAGGGTTTAGGGGTTTAGGGGTTAGGGTTTAGGGTAACCCTTTCTCCGCATCCCGGGCCTCGGGTTTAGAGTTTAGGGCTTAGGGTTTAGAGTTCAGGGTTTAGGGCTTGCTACCCCTCTATTATCAGGGCTGTGTACCCGCTGGATAGGACCATGATAAGGGACAGGAAGGTTTGATTGGGGGCTCCTTGCCGCAGAAGGCAGGGACTCAACAACAGGGCCCTGATATGTGATATCGGGTCTGGAAGCAGAGTTTTCTATCGTGTTATGCGGACTGTGAGGGGATCTCATTGCAGATGAAGTGGCTGCTAGATATACAAAGGCCTTGCAACAAGAATTTCGGGCCAGGCTCACATGAAGTCTGTATGCATTATTACCGGAGCCTGAACAAGCAAAACAGGGTGCTTGGGTCTATTGTGGTATGCCTTTATAGAAACTATAAGAGCGCACTCGCGCCAATTATTCAGAGCCCTATGTCAAGCCCAAACACCCTAAACCCCCTACAAATCCCTGAATTTTCAGCCCAGACAAAGAAAAGACCCTTGATGCAGTAAGGCCGTTGAGGGTTTATGGGGCTTAAAGGGCGCAAGATGCGACTGGCTCCCTATGTGATTTTCCTCACGCACAGAGGGTCGGCGAAGAGCCTGGGCGGAGGACGTCCGTTTAGGGTTTAGGGTTGAGGGGTAGTCCGATTTCTGGGTATGGACAAGAGACTCAGAGGGTGCATATACATTACCATTCTGGAATATAGGCCCCAAAAGACCATCCGTACTATGGTCTTGGGGACTTACTTCCATAATAACAGTATATATGGAACCCCCTGGGAAAATGACTGAACAATGTGGTTCACAACATAGAAGCGATCGCAACGTTTCCTACATGTACACCGAAGACTACATGCATGTGACAGGTGTAGGTGCGCGTGTGCGTGTGGATGTGTGTATAGGGCAGTCGGCTCAGGCCGGCTCAACAACCGCGCCGGTTGCCGACAACAGCCGACAGCCGAAACCTAGATGCTACACAGGCAAGCCAAAAACAGACTTCCCTCAGGTGAAGCTTGAACAACCAAAACCTGCTTTGTTGTAGGCTCTTACCATATAGACATATAGAATTACAAGGTTTCCGTAGGGTTTCGGGAACAAAAAGGCAGAAATCCTCCATACAGCTAAACCTTAAACCCTAAACCCTCAACCCCTAAACCCTAAACCCTAAACCGGCTGGGCGCCAAGCGCAAACTTACAAGCGCCAACCACTCAACCTTAAGGTCCCCCCGACCCCAAACCCCTAAGCCGTAACTCCTAACCCCTGACGCCCAAAAGGGCGCTAAACCGTAAAACCCTGAACCCTAAACCCTAAAGCCTTAAACCCTGAAGCCCTAAACCCTAAAACCCTAAACTCTACTAAACCCTAAAACCCTAAACTCGACTAAACCCTAAACCGGGAAACCCAAACCCTCCAGTGGCCTGGCATCAGGAAACCTCGATAGCTCCTGAAGCGCCGCATCTTTGGAGGAGCCTCGGGCGGCACAGCCGTGAGCGCTTCAGGGGTTTAGGGTTTGGGGGTTGAGGGGTTTAGGGTTTAGGGTTTGGGGGTTAGGTTTAGGGAGTAGAGTTACCGTGGAGTTTTTAAGCTGATGTCGGATGTTGGCCAGAACTGCAACGCAGTGTAATGAGCTTTGGTTGCGAGCAGTGCAAAACCCTAAGCCGAAATACCCCAAACTCTACTATATTAGGGATCCTACTACAACATGCCTCGTGCTCCAAAGCAGAACATTCCAGACTAAGACAAAGCGCCATATGCATGCTCAACTGGCTATAGTAGAGTTGAGGCAGACAACCATAGCTGACTAATCACCATCCACTAACACACCTTTTCTTGCACGCACACTCTCAAGCCAAAAAAGTTATCACTACCCACTAACAATAGCTTTTGCTATGCAGTGCGCGTGGCCCCAGAGAACACCGGGAGCGTCAAGAGCATCGATGCCGGCAGAGAAACAGAACTCTGCCTTGGTTTGTCGGTCTATGGGTTTAGGGTTTAGGGGTGTTTAGAGTTTAGGGTTTAGGGGCTAAGGGTTTAGGGGTTTTGGTTTCAGGGGTGCTCGAAATTTAGGAATTGAAGGTTCGTTTACAGGATCCAGGATTTCGGGTATACCGATTGGGGTACATGTCTGCAGGACACTCTCATGCATCGTGATTGAGCGATAGTCATAATCAATAAGTTCCTGCGCGAAGTTGTAGCACATTTCACATGCCTCAAAACTTGCTGCCGACAGAAAACCACTTCACAAACAAGTGCGAGCAGTGCAGGAAGAACGCTCCAAACGACAGAAGTGGCCAAGAAAAATACCTGCGATCGACCGATCAGACTTCCGCCCCCTTTTGGTTATCAAAAGCTCACTTCCCTCGTGCAGCAATGCGGGTTTTTAAAGGGCACAACATCGCAGATCCTGAGGCCACTACATCGGACGAGCAGAGGCCATGGCCTGTCCAGACAGGGCCCAGGAGAACATCACGAAATGATGCTGTTGAGGGAATGAAGGGTTTCGGTTCTATGCAGAGTTGACGTCTTGACGGCACCAGCAAGCCCTGATTTACTTGTAGCCCTACACCTCGAACCAAGAAGCTTAGACCAACACATGCTGGATTATGCATGTTGTACTTCTCTGTGGGCACGAAGCCGCTTGAACTAGTTTTTACATCTTAGTCAAGTGGAGGACAGTGCCCTGCTTAAGCCCAGCATATTCACAAGTCTATAGATGCTAACCCCGACCCTGCAAGAAAAGCAATCCAGCAAGACAAGTGCATTGGCAGCTGACATATGTAGAACCGTTAACAAAACACGGCACGGGCAATGCGCCCGACGTGAACACCGTTAGAGTCCTGCACCAGAAGGGTATAAAAAAGCTCTATTGACACAAACAAGCAAACACCAAGCAAACAAACAAACAAACTTACATACATATTTACTTACATACATCCATACATGCATACATACACACATAGATACAAGTAAACACATACGAACACAGTATATACACACCCTATACCACATGCCCAAAGCCCAGCCCCGTCCAGACCACACCTGTAGCCCCAAACCCTACAAAATAGTAGGTATTATGCCCCCTTAAATAGAGGGTAGAACCCTTAAAAAGGGTAGGTTTTGGGGATCCCAAGGCAGACCTTGTCCTCAGCACGCATTTGCTCACGTTGCGATGGAACTCCAGCAGCTTTGGCCCTCTGGTTCATCGCCTGCGATGGAGCTCGATTCTAGGGTCTTTAGGGCTTTTAGGGTTTTGAGGGTTTTTTGTTTATAGGGGTTTATAGGGCTTATAGGATGCTTGGGGCTTGTAGAGTTTAGGGGTTTTGGGGATTCCGGTTTAAGGGTTTAGGTTTTCGGGCCAGGGCTTGGGCTCAAGAGTTAGATTTTGCAAGGATTCTCATGTGGCTTGCTTTTGAGCTTTTGTGCTTTAGGAGGTTATGGGTCTTGGGGGTTTACGGGCCGCTTCCGCAGCCTCACTTCTGTAGGGTTTCAGCGCTCAACCGTAAACGTAGCCAGAGCCGACCTCTGCAGCCCGAAATCCTCACGCAAGCTCTGAAGCCCGAAGTATGTATATATATATATATGTATGGATATATATACATATATATATGTATCGAACCCAATAACAACGGAGGCTGACGTCGGACCTTCGGGTTTGGGGTTGCGGTTGGGACTTGAGAGGGTAAGGTGTGGATCCCAGTTTGGGGTTTTTGTGTTGAAGGTTCAGGGTTTACGGTTCCGACTTTAATGGATTTTGCCGTCGGATGGATGCGAAGATTTTCGTCGAAATCTGTCAGCTTCGACGCCGAGTTCCCGCAAAAGGAGGGGTTCGAAGTTTTCGGGGTTAGGGGATGGTGCACGCGAACTCAGCGAACAAACACATCGGCAAAACGATGAACATCCTCTACATCCCGTGCGGTCGCGAGGTTTAGGGCATGGGGGGGGATTTTAGGGATTTGAGGGTCTAGGGTTTTGAGCTTTGGGAATGGGGGGTTTTAGGGATTTGAGGCTTAGGAAGTTTAGGCTTCGGGCGTTTACCCCCAAACGATCGCCTCTTCTCCACGCGCATCTTCTGCGCCTAGCAGAGGTCTGGTCTCACGGAACAGGCCAAAACCACTCCCCTACTTATCCTTCGAGTCTACATTTGATGGTTCGTGCTCCGGCAGGAATGTGCACGTGGCTGGAGACAAAAAATCAATCTTCAAAACTCAGCTCCATGTATGTAACGCTGCACCCTGCGACCACAAGTCTCTGGCCCGCGGAACCAGATACAGCATAACCTATATAACCTGCATCCCAAAGAAGCTGGAAAAAACAGCCCTAGATGCGTATGAAAGGCTCTCCTATATCTGTGGGTCTTCCGACAAACTGTGAACCGAAAACCCTAAGCCCTAAAACCCTAAACCCTAAACCCTAAAACCCTAAACCCTAAACCCTAAAACCCTAAAAACCCTAGATTCAAAGCCTTGGTGGAGCAGTATTGCCATTGCAGGCTAGAGACTCTCGCGGCGAAATTCTCCTTCCCTTGGATAAGGGCCGGAAGGCATGTAACAAAACGCAGGAAAAAAAGTTAGACCCTAAGCCCTAAGCCCTAAAAGCCCTAAAAGCCCTAAACCCTAAACCCTCCAAGCCCCCTAAACCCTAAACCCCGTAAACCCCGTAAACCCCCTAAACCCTAAACCCCCTAAACCCTAAACCCTTCAGCCCTGAGGGTGCCTTGACAGAGATTCTTCAGCTACCAGGACAGTCCTTGTACCCTCAAATAGGGGGAATATGGTCCCCCAAATAAGGGTATTCAGGGTCTAATAGAAGGTAGATGGAGGGTATTCTTCTTCTCTACATATCTGCCGAGCCTTCGATCTGGAACCCCTAAACCATAAAGCCTGGGTTTAGGGTTTAGGGTTTAAGGGGTTTAGGGGTTTAGGGTTTAGGGGTGTCCTCTGGTGTCGGTGCAGCTTGTCATGGCATCCTAGTTTTTGTTTACCCACCTTTTTCGGTTTCGCGCTTTGGGTTTACCTAGACCCTTAAACGTAGTACCTTTTATTGGATGATCTGTTTTATGGTTAGGATCCTATAGTAAGAAACTAAGGCACCCCAAAAAAGGTACTACATTGTAGTTCCTTTTTTTGGCTTAACCAATTCTATATTAAGGATCCTAAAAGGTAACCCCAAAAAGGAACTACAATGGAGACTATAGGTAGGGCTGAAGGTTTAGCCGACGGACTTGGAGCGTCAGGTGCGGAGTCGTTTCAGCTGGCCGGCGGCTTTCTTCAGTTAAAGGTTGAAGCTTTAGGGCTTATAGGGTTTAGGGTCTAGGGTTTGGGGTTTGAAGTTTAGGCTTCGAAGTTTAAGGTTCAGGGTTTAGGGTTTAGGCTGCCGGGCCCTGTGGATTCTACATGAAATTGTGCTTTTCTCGCTTTTTCCCAGCTGCTCAGTGTTCGTTCATACCAGCCTCGCTGATTTCCTGGCCACCCCTCGTCTCGAGGATTCAGGGTTTGGGGGTTCAGGGTTCAACAACTTAGATTCCTGTGGAAAAAAAGCCCGCAGCCGTCAATATAATGAACCTGCTTCGGCAAGGTAGGAAAATTGAAGGCGGGTCAAGGCCCCCTTTCGCTAGTTAGTTGCCATCGTAGCTGTTACTGCAATCAAAGGGAAAAACCTAAACCCTAAACCCCTAAACCCTAAACCCGTAACATACCGAAATCCTGGGCCTCTGAACATCAAGATTGGACCATTCCCCGAGCCCTGTGAATCCGCTGAACGTCTTTCACGTCAAAAGGCCCAACAGAGCCCCAGGACGCTCTTCACGAAATCATGTCCGGGGCCCAAAGTCCTGCGTCACAAATTTTGTACAGTTCTGGGATGGAACGACAGACCCGGCGAACCTTCAACCCCAAACTCTGTGTCAACGGTTTTAGGGGGTTTTAGGTTTTACCCTAACCCCAAACCCTGAACCCTAAACCCCTATGAACCCCTAAACCCTAAATCCTGAATCCCTACCCCCTAAACCCTGAACGCCTACACCCTAAACCCTGATCTCCACGAACCTCTTGCATGGGCCAAGGGGCCCTCCAGTTCTGAAGCGAGCTTCGTGGCTATGTAGATTCGCCTTGCTAAAGGCCGTCGTGTTTCTGTGGTGATGGCAGTAGTAGTAGTAGTAGTAGTAGCAGTAGTAGTAGTAGTAGTAGTAGCAGCAGCAACAGCAGCAGCAGCTGTTGAAATATCCAGAGAAACAGCAAGAAGGTGAGGAACAAGAAGGTTTTTACAAAGTCTTGCTCTTGGGACATCAGAGTAGGCAGGTCAGCCGTGATGGCTTCCAATGGTGTGGCTTTCCAACACTTCCTGCAGATTTCTGCACTCCTCGCACAGTTTCTTGCAGGCTTCCGCGTAATCGACACCACTTTGCCGACTCCGCTTTGTACTCGACAGCAAACCTCACTTTTCTGGGTTGAATGATCTGCCGCATTCGTGGTGATTCACGGTGCAGCATGGGCTGGTCTCTTGAGTTGCTGTTTCGGGTTTCAAACGGAACTTGCATCCAGTCTACTAGATTGGCGTCAATCCGGGAGAAGGCACAATGTGCAGGTGCCCTCTCGGTTTAAGGTTGGAGGGTGTAGAGGTAGACGGTTTTTGCAGGTCACGTGCTTCACCTCCTCCACCCAATCCTCCTTCACGGCCGGGTGTTAGGCAGTTTTCGCACTGCCAACTCTAACGGGCCGAAGCTTAATTAAGTGCACCACCAGTTGCAAGTTTTGGGACACTTCTTGTGTAGACTCTACCGTCCGCACGGGAACAGGAACAGGAAGAGTACAGTAGAAGCTCAGAAGTTGGAAACCCAATAGCCTCAATCCCTCAGAGTAATGTATAAGCAGTTGTACAAGCAATCCCAGCACAAATTGTCCTTAACCTTGTTTCAACTTTTTGGGGCTTACCATATCCACTTGGAGTACGCGTTCTGCCTCCATTATGCTATCCCAACCAAATCCTATAGTAGAAGAATTCCGTCGCAGCAGCTGTGTCTGGGAGGTAACCTTGCGCCATCTCGATGGCCTCCAAGGCACACGCATGAGACAACATGCCTGAAAATTCTGCGCAAACCCGCTCACACAACCTATCACGAAGACGATGATCCCAAGTTTTTTGACAGAGCCGGGACGATGATGAGCAGGACAGTTTGGGAACAACAAAGGTAACACAGGGCCTTGGAAATTTAGAATGGTGTTTGCGGGCATAATACAGTAGGATTCGAATAAGGAACCCAGGAATAGCATTGCTAATTATGCAGGCCCCCTTTATTCGGGCCATATAATATGCCTTATTATATTATACTATACTAAACTATACTAATACTAACACTAATACTAATACTAATACTAATACTAATACTAATACAAACACTAATACTAATACTAATACTAATACTAATACTAATACTAATACCCGCCTTCCGCGAAGCTTCTTCGGCAATGTCTTGGGCTTTGTCCGCCTGCTCAGGAGGCCGATGACCGAAGCCCCGGACCCGAATAAATTTTAGTGTTTAGGGTTTGGGGTTTGGGGTTTAGGGATTTAGGGTTTAGGGTTTAGGGTCTAGGGTTTAGGGTTTAGGGTTTAGGGTTTGGGGTTTAGGGATTTAGGGTTTAGGGGATCTGATGTAGGTCCGGAATGACGAGACACTCCAAGCCCAAAGCCCCCAAACCTTGACATCAGAACTAAGGGGGGCTATATGCTCTTCAAGGGCTTGCATGATTTGCAGGAAGTGGTCCTTAGGTTACCTGCAACCTCCGGGATGGTGCTTTAGCCCTAGGAGCCCCAAAGGAGCCGAGCCCCAATCCTTGAATCGACACCCCGAAACCAGTAAGCCCAAAGGGGGTTTAGGGTTTAGGGGTTTAGGGAGTTATAAGGCCTAAACCAAAGCACCGAGTTCAGCCAAACGTAGACGCCTCCAGCCCAGCGACGACTGCACGGTCAGCATGCCAGCCTCGGCTGGAGGATCAGGAGACTTAGCAGGTAAGGCAAGAAACCCCCCAAAACGGGGTGATTATGAGTAGTTATCACAAGTTATAATCAAAGGGGAAGGAAGGTACTTAAACCCGGCCGAACCCCTAAACAACCAGGGCATCTACTGCAAGCCCTGCTCTTTTTCTTGAGCCAAATGCAATCCGCAAGCTGACTTCTGAAGTGAAACAAACCAGG